TGAAAAAGCGTATTTTTCAATTAAAGACAGCTTATAGATTTAATATGGGCTGCTTTTGGTGCTTGACACCTTTTTATTGGTCATTTTGTGTTTCAAGAATAAGGTCCAAGGTTAAGATTTATGCTATTAGTTACTTAAACATAAAATGTTTTTCTCTATTTAACAACATTACAATAGTGAAAGACGACTTCCCTTACTGATCACGTCTTTTGCACGGCGGGATGTTGGACTCAAAAATAATCACGTTGTTTGTATTCACCAAAACTGATTTACTGAAGTCAAAACACGGACGCAATTGGCGCTTGCTGAGGCGGGAGCAACGAGTCGGCAGAGGATTGCGCAGCCTTCCTCGAACAGTTATGTTCACGATTTCTGATTTACTTAACTTATACTGCGTGAGGGGGGCTGTGATTGGATGATGACAGGTATCGGTGATCAATCTCAAGTGATCAGCACAGCACCCCTGCTGTTGTATCAATCAGTGGTTAGATCAGCGTAGCAGTCAAAAAACGGGACAGGTCACGTACGGGACAAATCAATTAGGCCCAAAATACGGGACGTCCCAGCTAATACGGGACGGTTGGCAACCCTATCTATAGTATATCCATGTCTTTGATATGTCTCACCTCAACTTCAGTAGCAAATATGTCACACTCATACGCTGTCAGTCAAGACTAACCGATGCATGATTTATTATCGAATGTCACAGAACAAAACTGCACTCATAAAGTCCATTTCACAGTCCCTCCTGCCAGATTCAAAATAAGTTCTCAGTTATTGCAAAAAAAAACTGAAATCAGCTCACGTTGGAACAAGTCGTCAGTCATCTTTTGGCCGGTTTGTTTGTGCCAGGTACAGAAAAATCATTGTACAAAGTAAAATCGTTTTTATATTAAATATACTGATTTACTTAAAGGGGTCATATGATGTGATTTCAATTTTTCCTTTCTCTTTGGAGTGTTACAAGCTCTTGGTGCATAAAGAAGATCTGTAAAGTTGCAAAGACTAAAGTCTCAAATCCAAAGAGATATTCTTTATAAAAGTTAAGACTTGTCCATGCCCTCTTAAAATGCCTCATTTAAACACGCCCCCACATATCTACATCACTGTGTGGGAAGATTTGCATAACGCCGCCCAAATGTTCACGCAAAGAAAGAAGGCGTAACTTTGATTCTCGCTGTAGTATTGTTGCCGCCACCACCATGTCGTGAAGGCGCTGTGTTTCATTGTGAAAGCGAAACTACTTTGTTTGGTCTTCCAAAAGAGGAT